GAGTAACCCAGTGGTTCTGTAGCCATAATGGCAATGTTTTTAAATGTCCAACTGCAAAACAAATTCATTGAGGAGTTAGAGATCAATCGTTGAATGTTGAAAATGCAGAAGCAACAGTTCTGTGTGGGCATTGATTTAATGTAACACTTAGTGTATTTAAGTGAATTATGTCATAATTGCTAGAATAAGCAAAGTAGTATCCAAGCAAGCTATAAGGAGAGAGATTTGATCCCAGCATGAATTCAGAACACAAAGTGGGCAGGAATTGTTAGTAAATTATATGAAGTTCTTAAGAATTCAAGTATTTGTCATGTGAAGATGTAAAGGGAAATAATGGGTCATTTTCTGTGAAGAAGCTAAGTTTCAAAAATATTTAGAGTTCAGTATGGAGGTGTAAATGGGCTTTACCTGGCTGATTTATAAATTTTTTTTTAATTAGTGGAAGTAATATGAAAGAAATCGAGTAATATTGAAAGTTGTCTAGAGTATTGTGGGCTAAAATTTAGAAATCGAAAGGAATTAAATATTCTTTGTTCTCTGTTAACCAAAAGTATTGCTTTGCCACTAACAGAATTAATTCTTTTGAAACTGAAGAGACTAGTTCAGGCCAGTGCTGCTATGGAATATTTTGAAGGGCTGATTGGTCCATAACACATTTAGTAATGCTGGAAATATGCCACACGATATTGCGTGCAGCATGCAGGACATACAACATAGCTTTCCAAGCTTGTGTGTAATACAGGTGCTTTGTACATTGCATTAAAAAACTCCACATGTATTCATGAGTAGAAACCTAATCTAGATTTGTGCACAGTTTTTGTGTACAAATGCATTCTGCTGCATGCAAAAGGAATCCTGCAGTTATACTGTATAGTAGCTACATAAATATTTGCTGTAGATACTATCAATGGCCTTCTTCAGAACTAGGATGTCATGAGAGATTAAATATTAATAGGAGGTTTCTGTAGGCTGGGGGAGCAGAAGTGTACAAAAATGCAGGTGGCACAGGTTGCTATGTAAGACTTTATAGATTCTGAGATAAGATGTTTAGTCTTCTCCAATTGCAACTGTTCTCTAGCCTAGGTATCTGAAGATACCTAGTCAACAAGAAAATTTACCATTATCAACAAGTTTCATCCTCCTCTTTAGAAATTAGAACCAGTGTAGTATTGGGGAAGGTCTCTTTTGTTAGAGTGACCTAAACTGCAGAGATCTTTAAAAGAGGTTTGTGCTGAAATTTTTTAGTTTGTGGAGACTAACACTGAGCCTCTGAAAGAGAGACTGATGAGTCATTATGGGCTAATGGGCTTTTGTTTTTAAGGAGAAGAAGAAAATTGAAAAGAAATGTTTGTGTTCGATTTTGAATACAGTTACTGTGCCATGATAAGTGGAAAGTATCAGACCTTTAGCAATAAAGGAATAAATTAAGTGTCACATCCTTGTATGAAGGATGTGGGCATGTGCAATATGTGAGTGATATGGTCCAACCATCTCACCTCACTGTCTTTTTGAGACTTGACTAGTGGAGAGCAGTTAAAACTAAAAGATAAATGTCAAAAATCCTTCTTCTCTTTGTTGAGTCAGGTTCTGCAAGGGTTAAATTAATGTTTGAAAAAAAAAAAAAGGGGAGAGGAAAAAAAAAACTTTTATGTCAAATTTAGAACAACTTGAAGGAACTTGTTCGGGTAAGCTTAAATCCCAGATGAGTATTTGTGGAGTTTTTATATGCTGTCTGTGAAGTGTGTGCAAAGTGGAATGCAGAAAACTGCTTTTAGGCTACATCCTTTCAGAAGAGGTGAGGTGTGGCTATATGCAGTAGCTCTTAAGAAGGTTTCTACTGTGTGAACCCCAATGGTTAAAAGCAATTCTAGTGGCTCTGTTGCATTGAGGACGGGGTGGTAGGGAGTGCATGGTCCGTAGCATGAAGGGACAGGTTGGCTGTAAGGGCGTGCTTACACTAGAGAAGATGGCAGCAAAAACACCAGGACAGGATGAAACTGACCTGTTGTCTGTTGTGAAATGTGAGTAGTAGGTATCTTGATGTGGTCTGAAATTGCATTGTTTCACTGCTAACTTTTGAAATTGGCAAAGAGAATTGTCCATAGCAGAATGACTTTTCTAGTAGTGGGAAACCCCATTGTTCTTACAAAGCTGGGTTTTTTTTAGTATGACCATGGGTAATACTTTTGTTTTGTTCTGCGGGAGAAAACTGGATGTAAAGGCTTCATGGTTTATGCAACCTGAGCTTTCATTATACTATATCAGTTTCCTAAACAGAGACTGAGTGTTAAACCAGTCTATGTTTTGGTTATGTTGTAGTTAGTATTCTCTGCTTTGAGGGTTTTGGAAGACTTGCAAGGCTCAGTGTATCTGAGGAAGCCCTACCTTCTGACAAGGAATGATTGACTGTAATCTATTCTATGTAATGATTTTCTGTGATCCTAATTTCTTATGCTAAATGGTTGTCTGTGACAATTCAGTTTCACTGTATGATAGTGCATTACTTCTGTATTCTGTTACCTCTCAACTGAAATGCTTATTTAGGTAGTCTCTAATAGCTGCTCCTATGGAACACTTCACACTTCTCCTTGTTTAGTAGATGAGACAAAAGGAGCATTTTGACCAGATGTGAAAGCTGCAGGTTTTCCTTATCTCTATCCCTGGTTGTTCACGTTGTGAGCCAGAGAAGGAGAGAACATCTTTAAGAGGAAGGAGGCATATAGCTACTCAGTTCTGGCTCCTGCTTCAGTATGTGAAACTGCTTTTCCAAGCAGGTTTTATATGTACGTAGGTCCAACTGAGAAGACTGCACAATTTGACTTTACTCTCAAGCTAGTGTATTGTGTAAAGAATTAGAAAAGCTGAAGAAAGAAGAAACTAGGTATATTGGCTTTACTCTAAACCTAAAAAGCTTTTTGCATTGTCAGCACATCTTAGTAATGTGGTGAAGAACATCCCATTGCAAGTCACCTTTGTCTGAGAAGAAAACACAGAAAAGTATACTTTTTTTTTGTAGTTTAATTTTTCCAAAATGTTTTGAAGTGTTATTTGCTGTCATTTAACTTGAGGAAGTAGTCAAGATTTTATCCTGGCATTGGGTGAATAAATTCTCTGTGTGCTTATTTTGTTTGTCTTTTTTGAGGCTTTTGTATACAAATCTATTTTAAAAGCAAAGATCTTGGTTGTTTTCTACAAGTAGATAAAACTATTGGCATAGATGAAAAAGATACATAAGGAAAATCTGATCTTTTTTTCCTGTATACTTAATAGCTAAAAATACTCTTTCTCCTGTTTCAATGTACGTTTGTGTAGCCAAAGTAATGAGAGTATTTGTGTCTTGATGTCTACTGAACGACAAATTCATTAAAGTGATGTATATGAGTCTTACCTTAGCTGAATTGTGCTGACTTGGTGGTTTCTTCCTTGGGATGTCTTATTTAATTTTTAAAATCTCTTAATTCTTTTATTACCTACATTATTGGAATTTTTAAAGGCTTTGTTCTGTAAGCAGACAGAACAGGACATGTCAATATTTGTCTGTGACCACATCCTGCAGAAACATGACTAGTTAGTCCTGTTGAGGTTTTTTTAAAGAGTCTTTTTTTTTTGAAGATGAGCTCAGGATTTTGACACAAAATTCATATGCAGTTAAAAAGCTTTGTGATTTGAGTGAAAACATCGTGTGAACCAACAATACATGAAAATAGCTAAGCAAATAGCAATTAAAACATGTACAATAACTTTCAGTCATGAGGTATTGTTGGTGCTGTTTTCAGATGTGCAGAGGGAAAAGCTCTCAATTGTTCTTAAGTCGGCTGGTAACTGAATCCACGTTTGTAGAGCTTGACAACAAAAGGCTTTTTGTTCACAATTTGTATTCATCTAGGACATGCCAAATAAATAGAACATAGTTTATAAGCAGGCCAATATAACACGTTGCTCAAATGACTTACCAGAAATTCATAATTTATATTGAAATATTACTTATGGATAGAAGCTTGTTGGGAGCTTTTAGATTACTGCATGGATGAGCACAATGTAATTATTTGAGGAAGCACACATTGTTATATTTGATGTGGCAGCAAGATGTGCAACTTGAGCAAAACTCCTTCTGAATATTACTTGCAATCATTTCATTTATTTAGTGAGGCAATGGGTCAGTGCTAGTGGGTGCCTGATAAAAGAAGCAACAATGCCTTTGACTCCTGTGGTTCACAAATAAAGCATTCTAGAGAAAATTATTCTATTTCTTTCCCCCACATTTGTTCATTTCCCTGGGCTTTGTTATCAGTGTGGTTGTGTGACCATATGTGATTTGCATGCCGAGTAAACATGAGTGACTTTCTCTGCTGGGCCATTCAGTAACCTGCATCTTCTCACTGTTGGTGTGGTACTTGTGCTCCTATGCTCTTCACAAGGATCTGCATGCTCCTTTGAAGGGTGTTAGTCCAGTTGTGATGAATGAGCATGAACATTGGTGGAACTGTAGAAGATCTGGCATGTACAGTTTACTGATTTTTTTTCTGTTCATTGGATAAGGGAACAAAAAACCTGGTTAAACAGGGACTGGCCTAAAAGAACAGGAAAAAAATTAACAATTTATCTTTGTCTGTGCTTTCACAGTACCCACCCCTCCATGTATCAACCGTGCAGGTCATGTTCTTGATTAAAACAGATGTATCCAAAGACAAAAGTGTAATGAACTATGAAATGCATTGAGGTGATGGTTGTCTTGATAAATGAGCACATCATTTGATATCATTGGCTTTGGAATTTTTTGTGGTGTATGGAAAAGAAACATTCAGGTTTTTCTTTTCCATCTGAGACATATGAAAGGTGTCTTGCTAGTGTAAAGGTATGCATGTGGAGAAAGCACTGAAAAAGGATAAACAGCAGCTTTTAAGTTCTTTGTCAGTATGGGCTTCTCATGCTGGTCACATGTTTAACTCATCTGTTAAACTGTTAATCTCTGAGACTGTTCCTTTTCTGCCCTTTTTCAGGTAGTGGTGCTACAGCAGTTGTCCAGGCAGCGCTCTGCAAACCCAGGCAAGAACGTGTAGCAATAAAGAGGATCAACTTAGAAAAATGCCAAACCAGTATGGATGAATTACTTGTAAGTAAATAAAGGGGCAGCATGTTACATGGAGACTTACCTTCTATTTTGGCTCTGTTTTTAGCTTGGTCCAAGAGTGAGGGTAGAATTTTATGCAGGATATGAGAGAAGGATTTGAAAATAATCTGAAATAATTATACTATTCCCTAAAGATATAATTTTTAATGCATATTTTTTCATGTCACAAAAATTACATATGCAAACTTAATCTTGGGATAATCAGCTTGGGATAACTGTGGGAAGACCCTAAACTCTTGTTTTCTGGAAGCTCAGTTTTTAAGTGATTACTGTCTGGTTGTCTGTCTTTTTTAATATTGAGGAAAAATACATTTTCCTTTGGTTAAACACTGATTAAAAGCATGAAGAAAAAATGTAGTAGGTCTTCTTAAAATGTCTAAAGCACGAAAACATGTTGGACCATTTCATAATGGTAACTTTTAAGGAGAAAAGGAGGAATGGCTACCCTGCCATCTACACAAGGAAACTCTTGTTAAAGCTGGTAACACACAAACATTATCAAGAATGTTTGAAGAATATTATTTGTTTGGGCCACTGATCAGAGAAGAAAGGGGCCTGTAAGAAGCCATTTATAAAGGAACTGCAAGAGTTTTTCCTCTGCGCTGGTTATGGCAATACAGAAAATTCACAAAGAATTATTGAAACACAAAACCTATTGCTTTCTAATGTTCCTAGTTAGGTGCTTGTAAGACTAATGTGTGTTTATGTATAGGCAGCATAACAAGATTTGAAGGACACAAAACCATTCTAAAAGTGAGAACACTCTCTTCTGTTCCACAGGTTATACTACAGCCTAGAGACTGTGGGCTTTTTCTAATGCAGAAATTCCTGCCTCTGAAGGAAATGATCTCCCCAGCAGGGAATTGCCAGTGCAAAAGATATCTTGAATTTGATACAGAGGGTATGGTCCATCCAGTTTCTTCAGATAAAATGGCTTTTTTACAGTGGAGGACCCAAAATGCTCTTCCTCTGGTGATTGATGGCATTCACCTTCAGTTTATGTGACCGCTTGTATGCGACATTGTTGTGCTTTTTACGAGGATTGTGGTAGTGGAAGTTACTTCTGAGGTAGTGAGAATTCTGTCAACTGAAAACTCAAAAGATAATTCTGAACTGTCTTTAAGCCCAAGGTGAGATGCTGTGCATGATGTGTTAACAGCTACAGTCCCCAAAGAACATTTCTATAAAAAGATAAATACTAATAACTGTAAGATAAATTGGTCAGAATTGGAAATTTTTGGTTAGAATTTGAACTAATACTGGGAATTATGAATTAAAATGTTACAAGCAAACAAGCAAAACCAGACAAAACTGCCAGAAGTCTGCAAGAGAAATTCTTGTGGTCTGGAGAAAAGATTGTAGTTAGTTACAAGCTTGTAAAAAGTTACCTTGCCAAATGCTTGAGTGTCTTTACTGTTGACATGTCTCCACTGTCTGTCAAATGAGGCAGTAGGTCTTGAATTTTTGGTCCTTTATTGCTTTATTTTGGTACAAAGACAACTGTCCATACCATCTGTTTTATTTTATAACATAAGTCAATTTCTGCTTTTCTGTGTTCAGATTTTTAGTTTCTTTAATTTGTTGATCTGTTTTGATCTGAACATGAATTGGGATTTTCCTGGTTCTTGGTTAAGAGAGCTATAGAAGTGTGTACACATATGTGTATGCGTACACATACATAATTAACTTTGTTCTGTGAGGTTCAGTATACTTATGACTCAGTTCTATTTGAGAAACTTTAAAATTTTGTTTGAAAAATAGAGACTTTTTGTGGAAAAAGGCATAATTGACCTTCAAAACTCGTGTTACAAATGTACTAACATTTTCATTTCAGTTAATAGTACTTAAAATGTTCTTGTGGTTTTGGCAGAATTTGAGTCTAAAAATTTTGAGTTTTATCAGTTTTTAATCACTTATTTTTCTGATGAAACAGTTTTTGTGGCACAGGAATGTTCTAAAAGTGTCTGTTCTCTGAACACGCTGTTTTTTAGAAGGATGGTGCAGAGTGCTTATGAATGCTGTGTGCAGGCACCCTTCACAAATTCTCAGCTGTGTGGCCTTCAGAGAAGTGGAAATGCATCAACCCATGCAAGCAGGCTTAGGATTTGGGCCAGTGTCAATTAAAATAGAAAGGCAGTGTGGGAGGGAGTTTAAATATTACTGAGGTTACACAAACTGCCAAACTCCTGAAATTCGATACTCTGTTTCCTGCAATGTTCTGTGTTCTCACTATTGTAACCTAAGTGTAACTTTACCCCCTAAGCCAAGGAGAGTCCTGTCCTTAGTACTGTCCTGGATGGGTATCCTCCCCATTCTTTTACCTCCAGTTTTTTAGAACAATCAAACCTTCAAGTCCACGAACTCCAGACTGTTCTGTGGAATGGGTGTTTGGTTGAAGGGATTTTCCAGGCTGTTTTAGTTTCTGCGGTGACTGCCCTCGGAGGCAGGCTGTGTGGAGGAGGCCCCGGGGCCGGGCCCGCGCGGCGGCGGCACCTCCTGGGCAGCGGGAGCCGGGCCCGGCCTGGCTGCGGCAGCTCCGCACAGAAAGGAGCTGTCTCGCAGTTGCTTATTAACTGTGTCACCCACCTGCCCTTAGGCTGAAAGACATTTTTGTGCAGCTGCTCTGTGAAACTGGATCAGGAATAACCTGGCTGAAGGAGGTTAGCTTTTAACCTGGGCATATTGCCTGGTGAAGCGCGCAAATGCCCGTGCTAGTGCAAGGCAGGGGGAAGAGAGGGATGAGGGAGAGATTTAAATTGCTGTTACTTCTTTGCTGCTGTTGAATGTCTGAGGTGACATAATTGTGAAGAAAGCTCCAGTGTTTTTTCCTGAATGCTCTGCTGCAAGCTGTTTCTCTGGCAGTGTATTTTAAGTGAATGCTTTTCTTTCTCACCTGTGCACGTTGTGGGCCACAGCCAAACAGATGAAGACTGTGGAGGCTTACTACTCTGTTTGTGATAGGAGTTTCTAGAACCGCAAGTCTGAAATTATTTCATTCTTTCCTGACTAAAATTTCATCCCTTATCTCTCATGAGGTGCTTTCTGTTTGTTTATTTTTGTTTTGCGAAGACTTTTTAAAAAAAAAATCATGAAAGCTGAGACGCAAGGTGCCTTTGGCAATGGTTACTGTGGTAGCTCAGTTGTTGCCCATGAGTTGATGCAGGGAGGTAAAATATTCCAAGCACTTTTCAGTTAAAGATAGTGAAGCTTATCTCAGCCAATTAGTTACATTTCTGCATTATTAATGTCTGAGAAAAAGAGAGGAGATGTATTTTTGCCCAGTGGTGTCAGCTGTTTTTTTGAGTCACTGTTATATTATCAGCATAGGAAAATAATAAAACAGTGTAAGAAATGAAATAGTAACCAGGACTGGGGGAGTTACAGTTAAGGTTTGGAATGGGTAGTTGAATTAAGAACATGAGGCAGTAATTTGACTTGTGTTTAAGATGACATGTCTTTTGGGAGAGGGAAATGTATTCTACATGTCTGTCTTCCGTCTTTCACCTACTGTCTTCTGGGGGATGACAGGGAGCTATCTTGCAAATTGCTCTTATTATTCAGGCTCATTGATTCATTATCCAGGCATTCTTCCTTCTGTGTTTCAGGGTTCAGAAATTGTCTAAGGAGGAGGACTTTGGACAGCAGAACAAGCTGAAATGCGTGTCAAACTACAGCCTGGCTTTAATAGTCTCCTACAAGCACCATGAGATTAAATCCCAGTCTTTAATACATATAATTAACTTTTTATTAGAAACCAGCTGTGATTTTGAATGCATTGCAAATAACAAAAAACCTCTTTCAAACAATTGCTAAAATGAAGTTTAAAGTTCAAAATGGCATTTGTGGCAGCTTTAATCAACCTAAGTGGGACCTGCATAGTGCGTAACTTGCACAAGTGCTGTTGAGTCAGAGAGAAACAGTTCACCTCAAACAGTTGCTTTTCAGGGAGAGAGGAGAAGAAGAAGAGTTTTTTTAGCTGGATTGGCTTCCAGACTGGCTCAACCTCCAGGAGCGTGTGCTGTAGCACGAGGGGTGGATCGGGGCTCTGTGGCTGGAGGTAGAGAGGGAGAAGTAGGGTTGGGGCAGCTTGAATTGGTGTGAGGCAAAACCCTGTGGTATAGAAGAGGCCTCATGCTCCAATGTAAAGAATTGGCAAGAGAATGAGAGTGGCTGGAAAGGTGTTACAGAACAATTATGTGAAAGAGTGAATAGAAAAAGAACTCTGCTTGAATTAACAGACACAAGCCAGTCATTCTTAATGTGTACAGCTGTGGCGTGTCATAGATGCTGTTACTTGGTAGTGCCACGTTGTGCATCTGTTAGTGACTGTGGGTTCCTCTAGTCAATTGTTTCCTATGACTTTTGGCCTGTAATATTGCTTTTTTCTATTTCTGTTTAATTGTGTGGCTCTGGTGTCTACCTGTCTGTCCCACAGTAGCTGAGCCAGTGGTGCTGTGTCCTTTGTTCGACGGCTTCCCTCCTCCTTTCCTACCTGTTCCCATTCTACTCTTCATATCCCTTTTGAACAGAAAATGCAGTAAAGTTTGACCTTTCCTTGCATTTTGTTGTCCAGCCTGTACCCACATCTTCAGCTCTTGGAGACTACTCATTCTTCATTGTTTACTCTGAATTTGAGACTTTAACAGTAATTTCTTTGCTGTTCTCAGGAGAAAAGTGATGTAGCTATGCCTGTATCTCATGACCAAACTTCCCTCATATTCTTAGCAATAATGGTTTTTCTTGCATGCAGATCTTTAGGTAAATTGAAATGTTTTAATGCCTTGATGCATACTCTGTACATACTTTAGTTCTGTTATAGTATTTCACTTTGGAAATTAAACTTTATATTAGCAAAACTGATAGCTGGCTCTGTTGTTTTGGCCTTTGTATTTCTTACAGAAAGAAATTCAAGCAATGAGTCAGTGCAATCACCCTAATGTGGTGACCTATTACACATCTTTTGTGGTGAAGGATGAACTGTGGCTGGTTATGAAGCTATTAAGTGGGGGTAAGTTACTGGTTTTACTTGTTTAGCTGCAAGACACTTGTAGGATTTTTTTTTTTTTTGCTAATGTACCACCTGTGAGTACATTGAGCTAAACTAACTAATGAGAAAGGGCTAGACACTACATAGGATGAACCTCGAGATGTAGGCATGTTAAGGAGGAATGTGCAAGCTTACGAAGTTTGTATATCTATATTCATAGGACAGGTTAAGAATTACTGAAATATAGTATATACACAGAATTTAATTTTCATTCTGAACCAGTTTATTAAAGTTCTGTATTAAGGCTGTGTAGGGAAAACTGATTGAAATTAATTCAATTCTGTCAGTGTGATCTTTTATGGAGTTTCTCTAGAATCCTCTGTATTTTTATAAAAATGCATATATATCTGATTTCATAATGAGTATTACTCATTCCTTATTCAAGCAAGATCCATCCTAGGCCAAGTATTACACATACTGAATCCTTTTTATTGCTTAAGCTAACCAAACACTCATTGCATTTTTTAATGATAATGGTTACTGGTATAAAATTCTTATTTAGTTCTGGAGGAGGAAAAAGGAGACTGAACTTAATGTGCTTGTAGTTTAGAAAACAGAGGCCCCAGAATAAGATGTGATGTTCCTGGTTGTTACACGATGTTGTTCAAGATTAGTCTTGATGGCAGCAGGCTGCTTCACCATGATGCTGGAAAACAAGGAGGGGAAGTGCTCATAGCACTTGTGTTGCATTTGGTTGAATTGGTCAGTTCAAGCAAAAGCAAGCATAGACCATGAGAGAAACAAGTGATACATGACAGCAATTTACTGTGAGCTGTCAAATAGTGCTTGGATAAAGACAAAATGTTTCCATTAAAAGCCTTGAATTGTATAATGACTGAGGTTCAATGTCAAACTGTGTGTCACTGGGAATGTTATAATTTGTTTGCATTTGTCTCCTTCCAGTCTTGCAGCTGTGTGTTTACATTGTGAATACATGAACCATGATCTAAAGTGGATAATAACCCAAGACCTTTGCAGTACATATCTGTTTAAATATGGGGTACTCCTGAATTTTTAATTAGTGGTTGCTTTGCAAGTGTTAGCAGATCTTTCTAATGGATCATTAAGTGTTACTGTATTTTTGACAAAAAGCAGTGCTCTGTATCTCGTTTGAATGGGTTAGTGGTCTTTATTGTAAGAGCTAGTTACATGAAGCTTTTACACTTACATGCAAAGATTGAAATTGCACTAGCATAGAAAGAATTAAGAAATACAGCTTTCTAAGGAATCTGATGTGATAATGCTTTGTTTATGCTTTTTTTCTCTCCTGGATCTATAATACAGGTTCAATGCTTGATATAATAAAGTATATTGTCAACAGAGGAGAGCACAAAAATGGTGTGCTTGAAGAACCCATAATAGCAACAATTCTTAAAGAAGTTTTGGAGGGTTTAGACTATCTACACAGGAATGGGCAAATTCACAGGTAGGAGCATATACATAGTGAAAAGCATTTTCAAAATTGACTGTAGCTTGTTGAAGGCTTTCAGTTTGTGAGACTGTGTTTATAAAAGATGGTAAACCAGACTTTGAACTTAAATATATACCTTATTAAAATCTATCCCTGAATTTTGCTTCTTTATGCTTGAGCTGAATTCTGGTCTTTTTATATGTGAAAATTCCTTAGAGCTTGAGTTCTACACTCTGTTTTAAAGTTATTAAATTACATTTTACACCTCAGCTTCCTTTTTCTGTTTCAAATTTGAAAATGCTATCTTGTGAAACTATTCAGTGTGCAATATTTATTTGCTTGCATAAAATGTGCAGTATGCACTTTCATGCTAACCCCTGTTTGTATGTTCTAGAGATTTGAAGGCTGGCAACATTCTACTGGGTGAGGATGGCTCTGTACAAATAGCAGGTAATGGTGGTGATAGAGGAATGAATAAATAAAAGCAGAAGGTAGTTGCAGCTGGATCAGGGGCAACTGGTATCAAGGGGAAAAGTTTTTCAGTTGGCTTTTAACTATTCCTTTTGGGGTGTTGTAGCCACAAGTTACCCACTTTCAGATTTCAGGATTTTTGATTAATGATACTTGACTCAGAAATTATTCAGTATTTCTCTATGTCCCATCAAATATATAAGGAAGTTTTCTAATGTCCTTTTAATGTTTCCATTTGATTCACCCATGCACCTTAAACAGCTTGCAAATGGTAGAAGCTGATATTTCTGTTAATTTCATTTTTTGCTGCAAGTAATTGTAATAGTTCTTGGGGATCCAACAATATGTGTGTACTGTCCTTCATAAGGACTTTGACTATAAATTTACTAGTCATTGAGATGCAAGAGATAAATCTCATTGAGAATTATTTTTGACATATCTGCCATTTCTCTGGCAGTGGTATCTGTTGGATACAGTTTAGCATCTTAAACATCCTCTGCACTGATGTGCTTCTTGAGCTGCAGTCTGTAAGAAATGAATTATTTGGTCTCCTAAGAGCAAGGCTCATATCCCATTCCTCAGGCTAGTACCAGATTATCTGGAAAACAATGGGAGCAGGTGGTGATACCTGCTCCTTCCCCCAGCACACTGCCAGGCCTTCCACAGTTGATAGTGGTTGACTGGGCACTGAGAGCCCTCAGTAATACAAATTGTAATTTTTATATAAAGAGTGCTTTCGAAGTACCATGTCAACATGTATTTTAAGGGCTTTAATATGCCAGTGTCAAATAGTGATAAAACTACATTTTTCTGTAATTACTGGAGGTGCTTTCTTTTCAACCTTAAAATCAGGTAACAACAGGAAAGCAATAGGGAATAAATTGAAGTCTGTAGTGAAATTTCAGTATAACTGGATTGTAAATAGTACAGTTGAAAATACTCTTCATATAGCTCCATTCAAAATTGATAGTATTTCTACATACATTGGGAACCTGCTCTTTCATCCACTTACATGCCTGCCTCTCCCATAGAGCTGTCATTGATGTAGTAATGGGTTAACAGAACAATGAGCCTGTTTTTTTTCTTTTTCCTATTTCAAAGTTTGAAAAAGCTATTCATGTCCTGGTATACTATTAAGTACATATTAGTGACGGCTTTTCTGGTTGTCTTTAGTTTGTCAAATTCCCGTAAGAATTGAAATTACTTATAGTATTCTCTCTTGTTCAAATCACATTCATACTTAGTTGCTATGCAGAAGAAGCTCCTTGTCTTTGAACAAGAGCAGATGCAAACCTTGGCACAAATTGAATATTTGAAAACCCTAGGTGACAGATGTATTGGAGTCCTTTGCAACTTTATCCAGGAAGACACATACTGGGAGGTTAAACTTGAGGATGTTTTAGTGTGGATTTCCCTGATAAAGCTACACCTTCTATTCCATAGCATTTCATGAGCAGCATGCTGTGGAGCCAAGGTCAGATTTGCAATGGAGAATTTCTATAAGCATTCCTTCAGGAACTGACTTTATTTCTAAAACGTAAAACTTTTGCTTTGTTACTGGCAGTTTAACAGATTTCAACTTTTCTCCTCTTTCCCAGATTTCGGTGTTAGTGCATTTTTAGCAACTGGAGGTGATGTAACTCGTAACAAAGTAAGGAAAACATTTGTTGGTACTCCCTGTTGGATGGCCCCTGAAGTAATGGAGCAGGTATTTCTAATGCTAATCAAAAATTTAAAACATTTTGTCTTTTAATTTTGGAACTTGAGACATTACCACCTTGGTTTTCCCTTCTGCTTCTGTTTCAGGTGCGAGGTTATGACTTCAAGGCCGATATGTGGAGTTTTGGGATAACAGCCATTGAGTTAGCAACAGGAGCAGCACCTTATCACAAATACCCTCCTATGAAAGTAACAATCACTTTGTACTTGTTAATGCTGTTAGTTGTATTATTAATGCTGCTAGATAGTTAGTACTATTCAATAGCAACTCAGAGTATCTAAATAGATGTATTCCGTGGAGTATTTTTTCTCTTTTAATTTCTAAATTTCAAATTGGTTTTGCTTATGACACCTCATTTTTGGGTTTATTTTAGGTGTTAATGCTAACGCTTCAAAATGACCCTCCCACTTTAGAGACAGGTGTAGAAGACAAGGAGATGATGAAAAAGTATGGCAAATCCTTTAGAAAACTAATCTCATTATGCCTTCAAAAAGATCCTTCCAAAAGGTAGGTCACTACTGCCATGCAAAATATAATTATTTTTGAAAATATGTGGACTACTTTAAGTTACAGTGATATAATCTTTAAGTGTATGGTTTGAATTTTGTAAGTAGCAGCCCTTCAGTCACCTCTTTCTGGGGAGAAGAAATTACCTTTTTACTGTTCCTTAAGTTTACTTCTTCTGATTGTTAACCTAATGTATTTATATTTAAACACAGTATTGAATTAAACGTTGGTCAAATAAGAGTCCTTGTTCTACATCTTCATTTCTCATCTGAATAAGATATAAGTCTTGATACTGTGCACAAGTCTAGCAAGACTGTTCAGATTGAGCAACAGAACAGTTGGTAAACAAATGTATAATTCTCTTGGCCTTTAAAAGAAATTAAAAGTGAATAATTTTATGTTGATTTTTCTTATTGTGTGACATAAACTTAGTGTTGTTTTTAACTGGGATATATCCAGAGAAAATTGCTTACTAAGATGTATTTTTTTTTACTGTAAAGTTAGGGGGTCCAAGTTTGTTGAATTTTCCTTATGTTTATGTAGGGAACTGCATGTCATGGTGTCTTTGTTGTTTGTTCTTTCTTGCTGTGTTTTTTAAATAGCCAAGGCGATGCAAGTATTAAACATTTATTTCAAAACCATTGTTGAGATCCCAAGTTCCCTGAATGATTAGTTTATTTATTCATTTTTATGCAGATCATTTTTGGAGGCTTTTTTTTTTTTCTGAAGAACTGTAAGAAGCACATTCTAATTAGCATTATTTCCTAAGGTGTTTAGTATATCACTGTTTTCTAGAGTTTCAGAGCTACTCTTTTTGGGGAAAGATTGTTCTGAGAGAGCAATCCTGATTGTGTGTGTCATTTATGGTGTGTACTTCATTACTGATGTAATGTTAGCTCGAGTCCAGGATATGGTTGTAGGGAGTCACATTGAAAAGGTGACAGCAGGAATACTAGAGAACAAGTATAATTAACAACAAAGATTGTGGCTACGTCTTTATTCTTGAAATACTTGAAAACACTTTTTTCACTCAATGATCATTTGTCTACTGCTTTCAGATTCTCAAACTTGAAAACACTTTTTTCACTCAATGATGCTTTCAGATTCTCAACCCCCTTACCCTTAATGGTCTTAGTAGCAAGTCTTGATGCTTCAAGCTTAGTACTGCAGTTTAGCTGCTTACAGATAGGAATAATAATAATAATAATGGATAATCAAGCTCTTCATAATCCATCTTCTTTTAGTTTCCTGTATCTAGTAATTTTCAGGGCAAGATTAAAGTGGTATCAAGTATTGAGAAGTAAATAAAATGATTTTTCCTTGTCTCCTTGAATACATAATGTTGAGTTACCTGACATGTAGTAAAGGCATCAGTGTTTAAGGTACTTATTTAAATTTATACATTTATTAAAACACATGCAATACCTTCATACTCAAGATTGCCTTGAATGGAACAATTAGACCAGCAAATAGATGTTCAGATAGAAACAGGTATAGATCAATTGTTTTTATAGTGGGGGGTCATCATATTTCTTAGAATCCAGGATGTAATTTTGCATGGAGATCCCTCCAGCAGCCATTATGTCAGTTGTGGGAGAAGTCCTTGCTCTTTGTGGCAAATTCTAGGATTGGCATTGCACTGCTATTGTCTCAGTCTATGACGTTTTTCTTTCTGGGATCTCTGTGGGTGTTTCTCTCTCCCCAGTGCCAAGGATGCTGCTCACAGTCCACAGCTGCAATTCATTGTTGCAGCTTGTGTGGAAAAACAGGGCCAGAAAGCATGTCCAGACCAGTTCAGAAGCGTCTGCTGTAATTAATGGTAGAGGAATGGAGAACACTAGTTTGGATAAAACTTTACTAAAATGTAGCTTTTAAGTGTTATGAGATGTGATGGTACTGTACTTTGAGAACTTAAAACTTTGGCACAGAAGCTGGTTTTTCTTTTAAATACTATTCCCTTCCGTTTTGCTCAACCGAGATACATGTATTAATTACTACCAAGTCTGGTGGTCTCCACAGGACTACTGATTGGAACTGCTTTATTGTAGAGCTTGGTGCTTTGGAGGTAAAGAAAACTACGTGCTCTATGGAACCTACTGTCTGTCTAAATTGAATTTTTTGTTAATGTCAAGTTGTTTCATCATTCCTTGCAAGTATGAACCGATATATACATACAGACTATTTACTACTACTCTTTTGCTCACTTACTTTACAGATCTGTCCTCAAAGAAATAAACTAGGTCAGATTTTTGAGGTTTTCTTGAGACTGAAATTTTCCAAATGGAAGATTTCTCAATGTTTTACCTAATTTTTTCTATATTCAATCTCTTGCTGGAATTCAAATGGAAAACTAGAGCAGATGTTTCTTGTGTTTATTTAGAAATTATGAGTCTTGAAGATATTGACTTCCCTAAATTTAGCTGTGTCAAAATGAGTCCTGGATGGTGGTATGGGCTCCTACTGGAAATGATGGAGGATTTAATCTCATCCCAAGAGATGCTTCACTTTCTCTACAGAGTCTGCTTCAGTACCAGAGTCTGGCTTTGGCTAGATAAGTGGCTTTTTGGATCCCTGAATCTAGGGAGACAAAACCTGCTGTTGGAATCACTTTGATAGCTGTGAGATGGTGTTTCTCTCTTGGAAATGCTGAAACAAACTTAAACAGAACTGCAAGTGAAATGAATGAAGTGTGTCAGTTTTTACCTTACGGCTGTTGTTTTGGTTTGTATTTGTCTGTTTGATTGAAAGATCATCCTAATGACTCTTTGTTAATAGTATCAGTATAGTTTCTTGAGAATATCTGCTGACATCAATGAGGTAAAAGGATGCCAATAGGAGGTACTGATGCTGCTGTATGGAAAATGTAATTACGCTTTTATTGCTGTGGAGCAAAGTTTTAGTTGTATTCATAGAGTCATCTGGGGAAGAAAGCAATACCTGCCTTTGTGGTTTTGGTTTTTTTTTGTTTTTTTTGTCTTATTTGTTTTTTTTAAATGTTAAATTAATTTGTGTTGAACAAAAAAGGGGGGAAATTGGCAGCTTAAGAGACTGATTTTTTTTCTCTCTTTTTTGGTATTTTTGCCATAGAGAGGCTTAATTTTTTTCATGTGTGGTAAGTGAGTTTGTGTGAATTAATTCAGTAGCTATGATCATTCATTCCCCATTCATACAGTACTAATTCAAAAGTATTAGAGACGTACCATTTAACTAACGTCTTGTACTGTATTCACTGAGGGGTCTTTGTTTTCTGTTCTAATTTATTATTGATCTTTCAGGCCCACAGCAGCAGAACTTTTAAAATGCAAATTTTTCCAGAAAGCCAAGGTAAAACGTTTAACCCTATGAGTAAATTTTGCTCTGCCTTAAAATCTATGTGAAATGTGTTTCTTTCCTTGTATCGATTTTTAACATAACCAATGTTGGTTTTGCAGAATAGAGAATACCTGATTGAAAAGCTTCTCACTAGAACACCTAATATAGCACAAAGAGCAAAAAAGGTGAGTGCATTCACATATTTTTCTTGACTGGTGTGGAAGATAAAGCAGGGACCCCTCAGTTGCCTTACATTTTTAGTTACTGAGCCATACTTTTTATGTAGTCCTTCAAAGATAGTGAGTGTTGAATGAATGGTTTCTGCAGCCTTGTTTTCTCTAGGAAGCCCTGAAACATTTTTACTTCCTTTCTGACCTTGTCAGAATGATACATGATGTTTGTCATACTTGATATGATTTTTTTCTCACTTCCTCTTAGAAAGCTATATGTGAGGTAGTTGCGAGGAAAAAAGGTGACTGCAAACACATAGGTTCATAAACTGCACAGTTCTTATCTTCATTGATCACCTAGAGAAAAGGTGAAGATACTTTAAATTGTATTTATTGGAAACAGCCTGGTTCTGTGGGTTATTTCAAATGTTATTCCCAAAAAGTCAGGTCAAAACTGCACTCTGAAGAGTGCTGCTGAGTTTTTCAGACCAGTGGAGCTTTATTCCACAGGTGGCAGAGTTAAACCCACAGCTATGGCATATGCTTGTATTTCTTTGGTGCCTTTGGCACTTGTATAAATGAGCTTACCAAGTCACGTGCAGCAGAATAAAAAAAATAGTGACTCCTAACAGGTAAGTGTTGTAAAATATTTAAATATGAAGCAAACTGCTGTTCATAAGAGCTAAGAAACAGGAATGAATGTAGACTCCTGTTGTGTGTGAAAAATTATTGAATTCCCTTTTCCCTTTCTCTTGTGACTTAACTCACCATGTCTCTTCAGAATGAGGTGCCTGCTCAGAGACTGCTGAGCCTCTGCAGGTGACAGACACAGTAGTGTGCTGAGTCCAGCCTTCTAAAAGCAGGCTTTGCTGGGGAGATGTTTTGAGGAGGCTGTTTTAGGAAAGGAGCTCTTTCAGCCTTTGTTGCATGTCAGTTGGGCTGCAGCTACCCTCTCCAGCACCTGCACCATTTTCTGTTGTCTTTGGTTTAGCATAGTTCTACAACACTCAAATGTTCTCACAGCTGGTGGCTCACATTTGAAAGAGACAGCAAGAACTGAGTGCTTCAAGTTCCTTTGAATCTTCTTCGTAAGGAAGGAATTTTGGGAACTCGGTGGTGGGCTCTGAGAGGCTGGAGCAGGAAGGGCTGCTGAGAGGGTTTGTGGCAGGGGCGTCGCGCTGAGCAGGTTCGCTCCTGCAAGGGAGGAGGAGGAGTTCGGTGTTTGGCCGTGCGGTGGCAGCAATGCTCACACAAACCGCGATCCAGCCGCAGAAAGCCCGTCCGCTGCTTCGGTTCGCGCCTCGGGGGCGCAGGAGGGATCCAGACACGTGCTGGTCGCAGCCAGAGTGACAGAGCCGTGCCTCCTCCCAGCTGCTGCATCCCCGGGTCAGCTTCAGAGACTGCCTGGGAGCGCATGCCTGCGCGCGCGTATACTTTATATTTCTTTGGGTAACACAGCACTTGGAATTGCAAAGGAAATGCAGGATAGCCTGCTGTACACCACCAGAAATAATTTTCTGAATTGCTTCTTTGACAATTATTTCTAATTTGAAAGAGGTGTGAATCTTATGAAATCAAAGCGGTGGAAACAAATTAATACGTCTTTAATTACATCATGAATAGGAGAAATATTTGGGTTTTAGCTACTGAAAATGCTAAATTATTTATATTTCAAAAGGACACAATATTAAAATTCATTGGGGATTTAAAGTTTAATTCACTTGTTAGAACTGTGCATGTAGCTGCTGTTTTAAAACACCATAAAATATAAATATACTTTAATAATAAAACTCTGGGGTTTTGTTTAAAAAGCTTGTGTAAGTTGAGTTTGTTTGCTTAAACATTAACATGTAAAATGTCTAAGAGGTTGCTCTTGGAAGAAATAACCCCTGTAATTGAAAAACTATTATTACTAGGGCAATAGATAGGAAGGAGCTGGTGTCATCACTGCTTAAATTATCTTCTGTGGCGCTTGCTGTAAAATGCCTATGACTAATGATCTGTAGCACCACTGCTAGTACAGATGTCAGATCTGCCCTGCGGTAATCTAATTTTTCTTCCATTTACCACATGTATAATTGCTTTGCCTTGTTGCCCAGAACTCCAGCCTCAGTTTAGTTTTAACTTTAAATTCTTCTCTCTTGACATAGTGTTCCCACGTTTTGCTTCTGCCTTTATAGCTTATACTTGGCATCTGTTTTTTTCTAAATATGAGTTTGGGTCTGTTTGTGAAATCCGGAAAGCAAATATACAGGTCTTGTATGTGTGAGAAAAACATTTGGTGCTTAAAGATGTGTCCTGCTTTAAACTCCAATTTGATAATTGAGCAACATTTTCACTGTGTGTTTAAAATACTGTGTAACATTGGAATTGTAAGCGACATGTTTATGCACAAGTTTCCCCTGTTCCATTGCTTTTCATTCTGCTGAATTTTAAATGATGTACTTCTTCCTTGCCCTAGCCTAGTAATTAAGGATAATGCTGAACCACTTACCCTGGAGGAGCATGTCCTGCCTCTTCTTGTGCAGGACCTGGTTGGATACACATTGGTACTGATCCACAGGAATGGGTGTTACACCATGCAACTTCTTACTGGCAATTCTGGGTTTCATTAATGGGCCTGCTCACCTGTGAGAGCACTGGTGCTGTCAAGAAGAGCTGGAGAAAAGGCTGGGAGGAATGGTCCAAGCTCAGTATGGTTGGGTAAGCAGGGACATGCTCTGAAGCCGTGCTTTTGTCGTTGATATAAATGTAGGAGCCCTGATTTCCCGTGCCTGTGCCTGGTTAGATGGTGTGATGGGAGAGCAGCCTGCCCTGTCCTGCTTGGATGAGGGCTGTGTGCACTGCTGGCATAAAACAGCCCACCAAGAGTTTGCATATACGATTTATTAACATGTGCTGAAGCAGTTTTAATTTTGAACTGAACACTAAGTTGTTTCTTTTGTGATTAGGATTGCTGCATTGGAAGAGAGAAATTTGAAATTTGAAACAGCTTTTAGAGTTCCACAGTCAGTTTTCAAGTCTTGTCACACTAAAAAATTAATTATAACTCTAAGTACTCTGTATGCCCAAAGACCCTTGGTCAATTTTATGGTTTTATAATCCTATTTTTTTTATTTTTAAAATCTCCTGCATGACAGCCACGTCTCCACAGTAAAAAGGGAAAAACATATATTTGCATTTAATTTTAGTGCTGTCTGAAGTGCTGCTAATAAAAAAAAAAACCTGATGAATAATTTGGCTTGATTTCTATTTTTGGAATGGTGGTTTCGCATTGTGCTTGTAATAGAAACTTTTAGCGGAAAACTTGTAATAGTTGCTTGTAATAAAAACTTTTTTTAGAGCTGAGAGTTCTGTGTTAGTGGGAAAAACCTATGACAGTATGAAGAGATGATTAGTGTGAGTGATACCAGTTTTTATTATACTTCACTAAAAATGCCCTTATGGATGGGTTGTAATTCTAGCTCCTCAGTACAGCTATTTTAAGGTAATGGTCATATTTCATTACATAAGATATCATCAATCCTCTGCATTTAATGAGAAAAATATCATTATATCCCAGATTTCTTGGGCAGCTATAACAGCATGATTGCACCTCAGCAAGACATACATGTGCAGCCCTTCCTTGCTTCAGTAATGGATTTAATCTGATAGATACATCTGACCAGTGATGTATGTTAATACAGCTGGACTCCAGCTGAATTGAAAAGCAGAGAGCAACATGAACCTGAGCTCAGATTATTAATATAATTGTATATTAACTTTTCTTTACCGTCTAAGAAAATCTCATTTAAATAATCTTGACGTATAAAGGGAATGGACATGAGCTACACTGGAGCACTTTTTCTGGAAGGCAGTAGCTGAACTATAAATATGTGTTTGGCAAGGCTTTGTGTGAGGGAGGGCCCTCCATTGCAGAGAATTAATCGTTCAGGTTATCCAGAACACTGTTACAAATTTAAAAAAAATAGTGGAACTGAATTTATATGGTTGAAAATTACTAAAAAAAAAAAAAAAAGGAGAAATTGCCCCTCACACCATGTCAGGTAATATTTTTATTTTCAACAAGTTGTTGGAAGGGAAATTTAATAAAAACACTTCTTCCAAGTGTCCAATGTAAATTTGACAGCAATTCAAATAAGAAAGCAGTGCCTGCATTAGTGGGTAGTAGAATTGGAATGTTTTTTAAGGGGCAGACACATGTAGTTGCACCAGCTTTGTTTTAACATTTCATGTAAAGGAAGAAGACAGTTTAGTGTTTTTGCTACCATGTAGTTGTGCCATTAGATGCAAGGAACTTCATGCAATCTATGAGTTTGTCCATCTTTTCTTTCATAGCGTGCTTTTACCGTCTGTGTGGTTGCTTGTGAGGTTGGATTTTGTGCCTTTTCAAATGGATCTAATTGTTACATAATGAAATGAGCTTTGAAACAAACCATGGCTTACTTGAGTGCCTTTGTACTTCAGATAGCCATATGCATATCTAAAATAACTTGGATTACTTATTATGCCAGAGTTTAAAAGCTTGTACATGATTCATCTTAGTTGTTGCAAAGTAGCCCTGTTCCTTATTGGAAGGTATGTTCCAGTCCATGGGCCATCATGGTTCCACTTCAGAATTCATTTTTGCAGTGAGTCCGTGTCTCAATTGAACTGCTCCTTAGCTAATGTTGTGTTCATGACCTGTTGACTTGCTCAAAAACATCTTGAACATGGACTGACAGAGGGTTGTGTGTATTGAGTAATTCTCTGCTTAGATCAGTAGTTCTAAGTGTTTGGCATTTATCGAAGCTGTTGAAACTTGCAGAACTGGAGGAGGATTTTCTTAAAAGTGCTGTTGAAGGAGTTGTGATTAAAGAATCAAGACAGGATAAAGGAAGTCTGGGTGTGTATGAAGCTGGTGGTAGTCTTTGATCAGGGATTAAGCCTTGTAAATAAGCAGAAGATAATCCTATTTTATTGCTCTGTTTTGTAAGGATTTGGTTTTCTGTTGCTGAAAATGTGCAGCAAGGTGC